CCCCCCTCTCCACCCCTCCCCGCCGCGGACACCCTTCGCCCGGTCGGTTTGGCCCGGACTTCCCTCCCCTACCTCAGCTTACTCTTTGCTCTTTCCGCCGCCCGTCTGTGTGTACACGGGGGCGCCCTGCCCTGCCCCCGGACTGCCCTGAGGCGGGCCCCGCGGACAGCGCTGCCACTCCTTGGTCAGCCCGTGCCCCTCTCCCCTCCCCTCCTCCCCCGGCCCGCACTGTGTTAGGGAGTGCCGCCGGGATTGGGGATCGATTGGGCTCTCGTTGCATTTGGGCCTGGCGAGTGCTTCGCTGCTTCGCTCTCCTCTCGGAGGCGCCCCGTGTGGCGGCCGAGCGCAGCCTGTCCCGGCGTGCACAGGACAGGCACATGACCCCCCACTCCCACCCCCATCCCCCTTCCGGGGAGCAGCGCAGTTGTGTGTGTGTGTGTGCGTGTGTGTGTGAAAGAGAGAGAGAGGGATAGACGCACAGATAGACAGACAGGCCAATACTGAGTGAGTGAGTGAGTGTGTATGTGCACAGGATGTGTGATTAGAGAGAGCGAGAGAGAGAGAATGAGAGGGGGTTGAGCGTGCATGTAATGCGGTGGGCGTGATCGGCGCCACGCTGGGCTGCACGCGCACGCACGCGTGCACGCACACATGCGCACTCACACGTACGCCGCCTGGATCGATGGCCGCCAAGGCCGTGCTGTGCCGGGCCGTGCTCCCCGGGCGCGGGCCGGCACGGCGGCGGCGGCGGCGGCGGTTCGCAGGCGGCTGACGGGACGCGACGGGCGCTTGGCGTGCGTTTGGCAGGTGCAGGGCGTCCAGGGTGTGCAGGGCGCCCGCGATGGCCGTGGCCGGGTAGGCGTCAGCGGCGTCCCCGTCGAACAGCATGGCGGCCGCGGCGCCCAGCGGCTCGGGGCCCCCGGGCGGCCCCGGCGGCTCGGGCCAGGGCCAGGGCCCCAAGACGCAGGGCTCCAAGTCGCGGAGGAAGATCTCGCTGCCGTGGTTCCGGCAGAACTCGCTGACGCCCGGCAGGGCGTTCCTGACGCGCCAGCACACCATCGACACCCCCAGCGCCTTCCAGGCGCGGCTGCTCAACCGGCAGCCGTCCCACAGCCAGGTAAACTGCAGCAGCGGCTGCACCAGGACGGCCACCGCCGTCATCTGCGTGCCGCGCACCACGCCCCGTGCCACCAGTTGCGCTGCGCCCTGGGCGAGGCCCCGGGTGACTCGTGCCGCGCAGTGACACCTGCCCCGCCCCCCGCCCTCCTCCATAGCCGAAAGCCTTCCATCTTCCATCCCCCCTTTTGCAGCGCTTTATTGGCCCGCAGGGCGACCCCCCCTCCCTCCCCCGCGTCACTCAGGCTGTCGTGCCGCTAGCGCCGGCGCGCCCCGGAATGGGACGTTTGAGACAAATGAAGCACTTCTGGTCGGGGCGCCCGCCTGCCCATATTGCCTTGACGAGGGCGGCGCCGGGGCGGGGCGGGGCGTCGCTGTCGAGGCGCGTCCCCCTCCGTGTTGTTATCGCTATCGGCCTGGCCGGGACGGGAAAGGACCTCCCGCTCGGGCGGTAATGTGCGGCCCCGCCCCGCTCCGCCCCTCCCGCTCCACTCTGTGCCGCTCCGCGGCGCCGGCGGGTCTCCCGACGACGACGCCGGCCAGACGCACACTTTGTCGCGCAGCCAGTGGTCTGCGTGGTCCCAGCGGGGGCGCGAGCAGCAGGACGTCGACACCAGGGCGACGACGACGCTGCCGCCGCCGCTGCGCGCGCGCGGCGCGCCGGTGGCGGCAGAGGCTGTGCTCGCTGTGCTCCGGCCTCCGCCTGCTTCTGGCCGGGGCCGCCGGCTCGGGGTGCGGCAGAGCTGGGGTAAAAGTTTTGTCACGTGATTGTCAACGTCTATCCAACTTTGGCTCGTTTTTGCCAAGTTTTGTGCTGGCCTCTTTTTATTTCGTGCTATTTTTTTTTGTCCGTGCCTCGTGCTTTGGCTTGTGCTTCGCGTCTCCCCCAAGCTGCGCCCCGCGCTTGCTCCGCCCTTCCTCACCACCCACCATCATCATCGGAAGTTTTGTTTTTCGCTGGCATGCGATATATCGCATTGATTCCCTTCCATGACCTGGTTCGGTTGTGCCCCCCGCGCGCGCGCCCTCCCCGCCCAGCCCAGCGCAGCCCATATGCAGGTTGCAGGAGTCTATCCGTCCTGAGGGCCTGGCGCCCGTCCCACGGCCCGCGGGACACTGCTACTGTACCGTGCCGTGCCGTTCGCGGAGCTGCGTGACCGGTGGGGCAGTGTCCAGTGTAGTCCATTCTGCTCGCCGAGCGCAGGCGATTGGTTCCGTTTGCTCCCCCTCCCCCGCCCCCGGCCCCCCTT